GGATCGAGGGGGCAGTGGCAGCAGAGTGTGAGTGTGACATCCACCGGCCCCTCGCCCATCCTCTCAGCCATGGATGACATTTATAAGGCAGCGGTAAGTGCCTCCCTTTGGGGCTGGGGTGTGTGTGAGGGGGGTTAAGGGTTTTTGAGGGATTTTGGAGTAGATTCCCCAAAGCTGTGATGGAGTGAATTCAACGGAGAAAGCAAATAAGAAATAATTACAGGGTGGCAACTTCTAATCAACTTCATCATCCAAGAGACAGACCTTTCCTACTGATGGCTTTGAAGGTTTCACCCTCCTCTTGTAACTGTGAAACTCTCAACTGTGCTGCTAAATAATTTACCATTACTCCCCTGGTTCCCCACTGTAAGGCAAGGACATGGCCTGCAGGTGAAGTTATAAATCTCAACAAAATCTTGGAAGTATAAGAGGTGGCTGCTGGTTTTAGCCCAGACAAAGCAGAGCAGTGTTTCCCATGAAATGTACATTATTCATAGGGGTTAAACATCACCCTCTTCTTTCTGGTGCTTTATAATTCTGCCATTGCTATGTGTTCCCTTTCCTTAACTGAATATTCTTCTAGGATACTTAAAAAAACCTTCAGCTTTTGTACATTATTTCCAAACATCCTCCTCTGCTTTGCCGCTCCTGATATCTGCTCTGCAGAAATCCAGAATGTGAACTATGCTCTCAGGGAACGCTGAGCATCCTAACGGCTATTTTAACTTACACAGCTGCATGCTGCCCTCACTGTGTAAACCCAAAATATTTGGTCTGTAAGAAGAACCCTGCATTATTTTATAATGTAGACACATGGTGCTACGCAAGTAGAACAAAGATGAAAATAGATTCTGGATTGTGTGCATTGCTACTGTGTGTCCTCTGCAATGGGAGTTAAGACATTTTTGGTGTGTGTTTTTTTTTTTTAAATATATGGTCGATTGGGTTTGATTTTCACCAAGGACACAAAATCACAAGTCTTATTTTAATTCTAAGGTTTTTTAGAGGGGAGAAAGGCAGTGCTTGATATGGAAGAAAAAATCCCAAAGGCTTGCACCACTCCCATCCTTTTGTCAGCCTTGAACATCATGAAATAGAACCTCCTTAGCAATCCCCATAGTCTCAAAAGGCTCAGGAAAGGCTATACAGTAAAATGCTAAGTCCTCCAACCAACACCTCCAAAAGGGAGAAAAATGTGACCTGTCAAAGAAAATCAAGTCCTCTCTAATCCAGATTTTTAATTAGAGATGTTCTCATTGACTCAAGGCACAACTCCTTACTGTGTAGGGACCTCATACCTGTAAGTAGTGAGAAAGGCTGAAGAGCTTTGCAAGCCGGCAATGCACACAGCCCAAGGGGTCTGCTTGTCAGCTGGGACAGCGTGCTGGCAGCACAGGCAGAGAGCCCTGAAAAGAAAGGGTTCCCCACCTGCAAGCTCCAGCATCTCTCCAAATTTCTTCCCCAGAAACGGGCAACAAATGCACAGGTGAAGGTCATGCCTACCTGAAGCCTGTGGGCTTTAGCAGAGTTAGACCATAGAGGGATTTAACTGAGAAATAGGAATGGCAACAATAGAGAACCACCACAAAATTCCTACCTCAGATACCAAAAACTTACCCCAAACACAGAGCCCTTGACTAGGGAAATGAGCCACACAGTAGACCCAATGGATACCCATAGGGGTTTTGCTGCCAGTTTAATGGTGGGGGCATGTTGGTAAATGTGGAGCTTTAGTCCTAGGCGTTAGCTGCCAGCACCTTTGCAGAGGCAAAACAAGTCCAAGTCAGGCACAGCTGAGACAAACAGCTTTTTTTGTGGATCGATTTGCCAAGATTTTAACTGTAAGAAAACATTTACCTGGAAAAACTAATTCAAGAAATTCAACTTCCCCTGTTGATAATGGAAACATGAGTTGAAGAAGACATCTGATTTGGCATTGTCATGGCCACCGCAGGGCTGTGAGCTTAGTGATTGCCTTCGCATTGCAGCTGGAGAAACCTGTTCCTGAAATTATGTGGAGGGAAAAGAGAAATAAATCGACAAAGAGCACCCATGTTCCAAGGACGCCATAAACAGCCCAGGAGACATCTCTGTAGTTGAAGTGTCACTCGATACAATTACGTAATTCTTAGTTACAATCCATTTAATTTACATACAGCATAACTCCACATCTATCACTTCAGCAGTCAAGGAGGCTTCAGAAGTATGGGGGTTTTGTTTGTTTCATGCTGATGGCATATAGTAATATTATATTTATGCCAAATTCCCTATGTGCACCCAGAGAACCCAATGGATTTTCATCTTGCCCACTCATGCCTAGATAAGGGTGTGCAAACACAAAGCTATTCCAGGAACATTTTTAGGCTCTGTTAAGCGATGCTAAGAACAGTGCCAGGGACAAGTGTCCAGATAAAGGGCTGCAGGGATAAATACCAAAGCCTGGGAACAATCGGGGAGCTCATCGTTATCTTCAGCACCTCTCTCACCCAGGCTTATAAATAGCGAATGCACCAAGAGGGTCGTGTTACCCGAGTGGCAGGAGGGCCGTGGATGCCGGCCGAGGGAGAGCTGCGGCTGCCCTCACTCTGCCCAGACAGCAGCCACAAAGAGCTGGTAGCTGCCTCCATCAGCACCAGGTCCACAGCGGGCTTGGGTTTCCTCCTGCAATAGCCATCCTGCTGCCGTCCTTAGTGCTTTCTGATTTGCAAGTCTTCATTCACCTCCTCTGGTGCATGGGCAGTGGGATAAGGTCCCGCTGCCCGCTTCCCATGGGCTCTGCCCCACTAAGAAAAAGCACTTTCCTTGCCTCTCGCTATGAGTAGGAAGGATTTCCAGATGGCTTTTGCAAAACTGTTGCAAAAGCATCAGCCTTCCCTCAAAGACAGGGTCCCACAACCCCGGGTTATGGGGTTCTGCCCCAACTGAAACATGGTGGGGATGGGTATTGGGGACTGGTCTTTCAGGGATGGTGGCAAAGGGGACATTAGTGAGGCCAGGTACATTCTGCATGGGCCAGAGGTAGTCCTGGCAGGAGGTCACTTCTGGCTGACTCCAGATACACCTTTGACCAGCATGGGGAGGAAAAGTTGATGTTTTCATGGATGCTACCAAAGGGGCAGCTGGGCACGGTAGTGGGGTCAGCGATTTCAGAAAAGCAGTATCTGCAGGCCGACATGAAGTCAGAGAGAGTAAAGCACTTAAAGAGGCATGACACAGAGCTGATAGATCCCTCTTTGTTCTCATCATTGATTATTTTCATTAGCTCATGCTGACTAATGAGCTCCCACTGATCATCTGTGGGGAATGAATTAACGCAGGGTTTGGGAACAATCTGCCAGCCCATTTCAGCTAATGGCTCCACAGGCTGTTTTTTCATGGAAATACCTAAAACTGGCTAAAGGGACCAGCAGCTCCCTTCAGAGGCAGAAACCTGTGTAATAAACACTGACTCTGGTGAATGTAGACCAGCTCTTAATGCTCTGGATAGTGCAAGGAGTTTCCTGAATTTAGGACTGAAAAACAACTACTGAGGACTGTCTTGTCCCGCTCTCCCTCTCCAGGGACCTCTCCAGCACGTCCCTCTTCTGACTTGGCCCCAGCCCACGTGTGAGCAGCCCTCAGCAGCACAGCCATCCCACTGTGAAGCCTGCCAGCAGTAACAAATGACCCCCAGATAGTCGACAGAGATAGATGCTTTTTCCAGTGGGTCTCCCCTGCTTGTGCAAAGGCTACTCCTGCCACGTATCAAATGCGCCCGCTCTAGAGACATGGTGCTTGCCTCAGAGGAGCTAGAAGAACTTATTTCTTTAAGGGGAAGAATCTCTTAAACTACAAAAAATTGTGGTGTCAAAACCCTGCTGGTTGTACATCCCATAGTCCAAGAGGGTGACTGCTGAGAGGCTTGGCTGACCTTTGCAAAGGCTGTTGAACGAATAACACGTCCTTTTAATAATCAGTGATCCTGACAAAGAAAACTGACTTGGCTTCTGTTTTCCTTACAGGTTGAGCAGCTGACAGAAGAGCAAAAAAATGGTAGGTGCATCTTTAACCTGACACCGCAGCCTAAACATGAGTTGCCCAGCCAGCAGCCCAGCCTGCCTCAGCAATTACACCCCAGAAGATGCTTTGGCCAGACTGGTCAAAGCAAGGCATGACCCAGGGCTTCTGATGCACCAGCATTTCAACTAGGGCAGTTTCTGTGCACATCCCTGCCACGCCACACCCAGGCAGTGCTGGGGTGCATGGGCAGGGAGAGGCTGTGCCTGGGATGAGCCCCCTGTCCCTAGACCACCTGCCCACAGGGTCAAGGTACAAGGGGCAAGACCCTCTCCTCCAGGTATCTCCTCTCTCTGCAGAGTTCAAGGCTGCCTTTGACATCTTCGTGCTGGGGGCAGAGGATGGCTGCATCAGCACCAAGGAGCTGGGGAAGGTGATGCGGATGCTGGGGCAGAACCCCACCCCTGAGGAGCTGCAGGAGATGATAGACGAGGTGGATGAGGACGGTGAGAGATCTGGGTTTCTTCCATTCTCCTGAGCACCACCTCCATGTCTGCAGGCATGAGGGGGTCACGATGCGGATTGGGAGCAGCCAGCATCTGTGTGGTACTGGCTGGATCCATGCTGGGGATAATTGCAGCCTTTGGGGAGCAACCGGCTCAGAACAGTTACAAGATTTTTTTTCACAGAATCACAGAATATCAGAGATTGGAAGGGACCTCCAAAGATCATCTAGTCCAACCCCCCCCTTTTTTTTTCCTTTTGCTTTACATAAAATGTAGTAAGGAAAGTCAAATTTAGGTAATTGGATCAGCACAGAGGATCAGTTATTCACAATGCCACTTAATTGAGATGATAAAAGCAATGACCAAGATGCACTTAAGTTTACACAAAGAGAGGATTTCAAGAACATTGTTTACAGTTTACACTACAGTCCAGCATGAACACAAGACACAGTAACTGTTCAGGTCCAGTCCAGCAAAACATTTTACTAAGCAGTCTTATCTCTTATCAAATCTTCTTCTCTTCAACATTCATCCACCTCTGTTTGTGAGACTGGGATGAGTGTGTCCCCTTCATCTTAGAAAATAACACTATAGCAAATAATTAAGGGAAAAAAACCCCAACACGAGAAATTTTCGATACAGGTTTTTTTCCCCTCTTGATGAGGATACTTTTCTCTACAAGTAGTTTTCTTTTGTAATCTAACACTCTTTAAAAAGCTATCAGCTTCTTCAAGATGGCCACTGTAGGCATGATAATATTCCAGGAACACTTGATTGCAGGAACCAGTGATTCTGAAGGACACTAAACATCCATCAAACTTCAGTGTTGTTCTTTTAGGAAATCTCCAGGCAAGGAGAAACTATAAAAATCATTATTCCTGTTATGATCAAACTGCTTGAGCTAATGGGGGGGAGGCTATTCTGAAATTGCACAGATCCATTTGCTGAATATAGCAACTGCCATTTCAGAAATGCTACAGTTACAGGATTCTATCATTCGGAAAATGTTTCCCTTCTCAAGTGTACACACACACACAAATAACCATCAATATTGATTAAATCAGTGTACCAGTGATCGTATATAACAAAATACACTGTGTGCAATCCACTTTGGGCAAAAATATCATACTAAATAACTTTAAAATAGAAAAAAAAACAGTTAAAAATCAGGTGGAAAAAGGAAAGAGCTATGCCATTGAAAACATCAGTACTGTAATGCTAGTGCAAAAAAACACTGCATGAAGACTTGCCTTCTGGATCTTCTATTATTAACACCTAGGTGACATGGCCAGGTGCCTCCATAGTAGGAATTTCCATTCATTGGTGCTTCCAGCAGGACTTTTGGTTCATTTTGCAGATGACTGTAAAAGGTAAAAATGCAGTGATGAAATCAGTGCAGGGCCTCAGTCACTTACATCAGCGTCCTGAAAGCTGCTTCTTGCTGCAGCTGAGTTTTGGTCCTTGGTTACCAAAGGAAGTGTGATCTCTCGCTTGGCGTTGCCCGGTGCCAGCTGATGGTCTTTATTCTGCCTGCAGGCAGTGGCACCGTAGACTTTGATGAGTTCCTTGTCATGATGGTCCGGTGTATGAAAGATGACAGCAAAGGAAAAACTGAAGAGGAACTCTCAGATCTCTTCAGGATGTTTGACAAGTAAGAACCGTGACCGCAGTGTGGTGGGGCGGTGGGAGCGGTGCAGCCTCTGCGGCTTTCCCTCCCCAGTGTGTCGATCTGCTCCTGAGCTCCTGTCCTCGCACAGAAACGCCGATGGCTACATCGACCTGGAGGAGCTGAAGATCATGCTGCAGGCGACAGGAGAAACTATCACTGAGGACGACATAGAAGAACTGATGAAAGATGGGGATAAAAACAACGATGGCAGGATTGACTATGACGGTAGGACTCTTTGCTTGCAGTTTGGTCACAAGCACTTGAGTGTCTCCTGGGCAGCTCCCATGGTCTTTGTTGCCTTCTTGGACAAGCGTGAGCTTACGCAGCAGTACTGGGCAATATACCTGACCGCAGCTGGTGTTTGCACAGGGATGGGGGATATCTTACACTTGGGAAATGGTCGCAAGGGCCTGAGGCTTTCCTAATTGTCCCCATGCTGCAAAAGCCAGCCTGCACCGAAGCAATGCTGCTTTTCACCAGGGACTTGCCTGTCCCCTCCTGACATCTAAACACAAGCAGTGTCTCTAAAGGGCTGTATCTTTGAATCTGATGCTGCTCAGATGACCCCCAGACCATTTCCGAGCTGAGCCTGTGGTTGTTTTCCCCCTCGGGTGCTCACCTCCGGCATTTTGGTGGAAGCCGAGTGAGGGTGACTCAGAGGTCCAGTGACATTTCCAGCAGGAGTCACGAGGAGTCCTCGCCATGCTGAGGGGAGCAGTAGCCATCCCTCCTCGGCTTCTTGCACATCGGTGGGATGGAAAAGGAGACAGGGCTGGGGAAAGCTGCCAAGAGAGCACTTGGCAGCTGCGAGGGCACTTTGGTCCCATCTCACAGCCCTTGTCTCCAATGTCTTCCCCTTGGCAGAGTTCCTGGAGTTTATGAAGGGAGTTGAATAAATCTGAGGCCAGATCAACAGCCTGAATCGCCTAAACCCCTCCAGCTCTGCATCTCATCTCCTTGGACAAGTACCCCATCTCCTTGGATAAGTACCCTGGCTACTGGCATGAAGACTGAGCGCTGAGAAGGGTGGCCACTGGGAAAATAAAACACCTTAATACCGAGTGCTTCAGGTGGTTGTTCCTTGGAGGTTTAGTGAGAGCTTCGCCCTGGCTGGGTACTCAGGACTAATGGGGCTGCATCGAGCACCCACCAGCCACATCTGGCAAGGTGACATCACAGCTGGAGCTTTAAGCCCCCAAGGAGGTATTTTGCTGCCACCTCAGTGGCAAAGTCCAGCCAAAGGGGCCACAGGTGCTTGGCGGGGAGCTGCCATGTCACATCTCCTCAAACCTGCCATGGTGAATGGGCTCAGGAGCTGGCACGGGTGCCTGCTGGTTTAACTGGAGCACCAGCAGTGTTTTAGCTATGAAATGTGAATTAACAATCATTTACACCATCACTGAAATTCACGGGTGAGGGACAGTCCCTCGTGTCCCTGCTCTTGACCCAGCTGTCCCGAAGGGACACCCCTTCCTCCTTCCCACCATCCTGATGGCCACCTTGCAGTGCATTGCAGAAAGACCTCAGTTTTCTTTGGAAATGTAAATAAAAACCATTCTTAAGCCAGACTGGGTGCCTCCTTCCTGCCTCACCCAGCCTGGCAGGAGGCAGACAGCGGCAGCTCCACAGCACTTCATGGTCCTTCGGCAGCCCTGGATGGGAGCTTTGCCGCAATAACTGAAACATCCCATTTTCCCTCAGAAAGCATGTCTGTTTGGGTCACAGGGGCCCTGGACAAGACGTGACCCCACTTCGGGCTTTGGCCAGCAGGTACAGGGTGACAGCAGGGCTAAGGAAGACAAGCTATGCTGTCCCCAAGAGCCCGGGGCACCATCTTATCTCGTCCCAAGGAAGCGCAGCATTCCTGTGGCATTAGCAGCTCTCCCTGCACATAGCTGCCTCCTCCCATTGAAATACAGCCCCAGCACAGCTCACGCATTGCAGTCGTGTTGCTAAAATGAAACGTTTACCCAAGCAAAATAAACATTGGCAGGGCAAGGCGTGAGGCTGCGTCGGTGCAAGCCCCGTGATGCTGCACACAAAGCCTGGGTGAGCGTGTCACCATGCCCTGTGCCCACTGCACCATCCTTCTGCCCTGCCTCCCCAAATCAGCTGGGTCTTCTTGCCCCCCCATCTGTGGAAATAACCCAAGCAGTTGTACTTGACATGCTCATGTTTTAACAATAATGAAATACTGTAATTCAGACCAAACGAGCTTGAGGTGAAAACAGGCATGAGAGGGTTTGTTGGTTGTTTGGGAGGACACGGCTGTGTCTTTCCTCTGGACAAAGAGCACCAAATGTTTTGCTCAAGCAAGGCTTGTAACATCAAAGAAACTGAGGAAAAGAACCCCTGCCAGCTAGAGCAGCTGATTTTCCTTAAACCCCAAGATATTTTAGGCACATCTCTAATGCAAACATCTGGAAGACCCATTCAGAGGGTTTCCTGGATGGGCCCAAGCCCTCAATGCCACAGCTCCTGCTGAGTCAGCAGAACTGCAAGTAGACCAGAATCCAACAGAGAGAGAAATGTGTTGGGTCAGACAACCCTGTGACAGAAAATGCTCTGTATGTTGCCATCTTCCAGTTCCAATGAATTTGTAGCCTAGAGATCAAAGATAATCATCTCCTACCCACCAGTGCAGCAGAAGTCACTTACCACTTAGACACAGCTGAAATGTTTCACCCCAGGCCTGGAAACCTCAACCTGCAAAAAACCACCTGCAAATGCCCAGGCTTCAGCCACAAGCCAAGGTGACACCGACTCTCCCCACAGCCAGGGCCACTCAGCCCATGGGCAACCTACACCCTCACATCACATCTCAGCAGGCATCACCAACAGCCTTGTTACCTTCCTGTGTCTCAACCAGGTCCAAACACCGACATCTCCAAGATATTCTCTACTGCTTACTGATAGCTTTTTGGCTCACTGAAGGGTAAGCAAAAGAAGAAATAAAGTTAACCCCCTCTCCCTTCAGTCAACTCGGTGGCTTAGGGCAGGCTTGGACTCTGCTGTGACCCCAGCGAAAATGATGGCTGCAAAGAGCGACCTGGCCATGTGTCTTGGCTCTCCCACCTTGGTTCAATGGCCCAGGCAGCAGCGAGTAAATGGCCTCGTGGCTGCCCTCTTTTCTGAAAGTAAAAGAGAGAAGGTGGTGGCTGGAGAAAGAGGACAAAGGTTTTGCAGCAGCTGAAATTTGCAGCAGCTAGAGAAGCAGACATACTGGTACTAGTTGGGCATTTTCAGTCCTTAGACCAGAGGTGCCAGCAGGTCAGCACACTCCGCATGAAGTTAGAAAAACTGCCACCAGACCAGTTTGCCTTGACACACTGTCCTCCAAGAGTGAGACAGCAAATGTCGTGGGCTGGGGCGCTGCGGGTGGATTTCACTGTTGGCTAAAACACGGGAACAACTGCATTAGGAATGTAACGTGACATGACAGGCTGGCAAGTGGGTTAGATGGCTGAAAAAACAGTAACCAGCACAGGATAAGCCTGGCTGAAACCTCCACAGAGGAGATGTGCCTGGAGAAGTGCTAACAATGAATGAAAACCACCCAGGAGCCCACGCATCTAAGCGGCTCCAAACAAATTTGCTGTTTTCCTTGCATGTGTAGTAAACTGGTGCTCGAAGCCTTTCAGCAATGTGATACAGGTCCACATGCACTGACTGCTTGGGGGAAAACAAAAAGATAATTGAAACAATTTTGAAAAAAAACCATGCAAAAAAGAAGTCATTTACCACTAAATTAGTCCCTAGATCTGTGTGCTCTTAACAGCTGAGAAAGGAGCTGTGCTGGCAGGTGACAGCAGTTCGTGCCACCAGACACAGTTCTCAGGTCATTTGATCTGCTTGCTTTTGCTCACAGTAGATTTAACTCCTGCTCTGATTTGCTGTTTTTCCAGCGTATTTGAGGCCCCTCTTCAGCCCTCATTAGAACTCTGCTGGGTGAACGAAGTGACTGCAGGAAGATCTGAAGACATTTTGTACACGTGCCCCTAGTAAAACCTCTGCATCTCGCATACAGCCATACATCTGCCACCAAGGCAGCAGCAATATGTTAAGCTAAGGTACATCAGATAAATGTTTCACCATGCCAGAGCCCGTTTTGTAGAAACACCTGCAACACGCCTGAAACTTGGGCAAAGCAGAACTCCTGTTCACTGCTTTTTGCTTGAACACACGACCGAAAGGTAGTTAAGGGGCACAAAGCAACATATATCCAGCTCTACTTTTCATTTTCACTGTGGACATCAACATCCTCAGTGAATACCACATCAGAGTGTTTCACAGAGCTTTGATTTCTCCTCCCCAGTTCCGCACTTCTGGCTTTCAGCCTGATGAGTTTCTCATGTCAAATTAGCTGATTCAGTATTCGGTTACATGCCCTTTGCTCTCTACTTTTTTTTTTTTTAATCAAGTCAGAAAAGGAGCCAAACTGGAACTTGATACCGAGTCCTCTTAATTGCAAAGGAGAGAAATCATCTGCAGCAAGTATGACGTACAGCAGCAGCAGCAAGCACGAAATGTGTAACCTGATGTACAGCAGTAGCTGAGCAGAGGGACGCTTTCCAGCTCATTGGCTTCCTGCAGGATACCATGGACTTAATTATAAGAGTTTTGAAGTTTTTAAATGTCAAAGATGACACAGTTCTACATAATGGGAATAGTTTTAAGTGGGCCACAGCTGCCAGTTCTGTCTCCTGGGGTCTGTATGTGTAATCCTCCCAAAAAGGATCTTCAGCCTCACTTGGCCAACAGCACTTACATGATTTCAAAAGGCTAATGAGAATGGTGACCCACCATGCCATGTCAGCAGACTCCCCTTTGCAGCTTTCCCTTCTGGGCTGGGGCAACCTCTACGACAAGGAGGGAAGATGTGGACCGAGCTGTCACAGGGTTAAAAATGCAATCAACGATCAACTGATGTCTGGGCACTGTCCTGTGGAACCAGTGTGTGTGCAGGGAGCAGACAACAAACCTGACACCAAGCTGTGGAAGCTCACAAAATTCCTGTCTCTTGCTACACAATGATGCCTGGATTAAGGTTACATTCCTCCGTGCTGCATTTTGTCACGCAGCCGCTATTTTGGTCAGAAAGTCAGCAAGTCCATATTTGGGAAGCTGTCCCACTGAAGGGCAGCATGAAGGGCAGCGAGACGAGCAGGCTCCTTCTGAAGGCAGGCCTGGAGGAGCTGCCTGGAGACATGGGAAGCTCAAATCTTCCTCTCTGCTCTCTCAGTAACATGCCAACATCCCTTCCTCAGTCCAACCCTTGCCTGCCTCCCCCTCTCTCTCCTTCTCTCCCCCTTCAAACTGCATCCTGTGCGAGAGGTACTCTAGCTTGCAACACCAGCACTCTGGAGAAGACACCAAGGGGGTTTAGAGATAAAATCTCTTATCCTAGATTGAAAAATTCTAGTGCTTAGCTATGCAGAATCTGCAGACACACTGGCAAAGGGGTAGCTTGACAAACACCAAGTCCAAAGCCTTCAGAGGCTTTTTCTTTCGCTCTCGTCACAACACGTACCTGCAGCAGACTGACCGTCACATAGCTGGACCAGGCACTCTGTCTCCTCCAACACCAGCAGCAGCCCAAGGGGACACCCCTCCACACTAGGTCTCTCTGCCAGCCCCGGCAGGGATTGCAGGGGGGCTGCCAGGCAGATCTGGCCCAGTGCCCAACGTTGCCAGATGTGCACTAACCTCAACCACAGCTACGAAGACTTGCCTTCGCAGACAAACTTGCCCAAGCAGGGCAGGCACCAGCCAGACACCCACAGAACTCCCACACCCACAGGTACACAGGAACCAGAGGCCAGTGGGATTTAAGTGCTGCACATCTGTCTCCAGGTGACCTACCGCTTACCAGATAAGAAACTCTCTAGCAAGCATTAACACCACAAGGAACCTCTCGCCAACTGACTTTGTGGCATACCTGTGGGTGGCAGGGACCAGCCAGCCTTTTAGTCTTGACTATTTTGCACTTTACCTAGTGGCACAAACTCTGTGACTGTACACCGTCTCCAACACAGCACCCCTCCTGACCAGCACGCTGCTCTCATGCAAAAATTAAGTTCTTTCCTCTGAAAACAGAT